ACGTTTCGGGTCCGGTGACCCTACCTCAGAACTGAGGAAGAGTCACTGGACCCGAAATGTTAACTCTGTTTTCTCCTTCACAGATGCTGCCAGACCTGCTGAGCTTTTCCAGCAATTTTGTTTTTGTTAATTGTTTCAGTGTCATTGAACATAGAATTTGGCAAAAGTGGCCCTGTCATTTAGAAGATCGCAATGAATAAAACTCGGTTCATAATAAAGGCAAAGGAAACTTGACAGTTTAAATACTAATCTGTGTCCAGTGTAGACTCCTGTTTCTTTGATGCTCAACAGTCATGAAAGACCTTGTTTTCTACGAGCACATTGTGTTCTCTCACTCGCCCCACACAATCCTTGATCCCACTCTGCTTTATTATGTCTTGCTACTTTCTTTTCCTCCTCTTGACCTTCATTTTCATCTGTTATTCATCTCAGCCCTTTTTCTGATCCTTTCTGTTGGGATGTTTTTAACCACCCCACAGAATTCATGTTTGTTCTGTACTGTGGAATTTCTATCTGTTCTTCTATTAGCAAAGTGCTTTGGCATTGTTTGAACAAAGTGTAATTAATTCATGGAAAGTTGAATAACTCTAATTTCAGCAAGGAGCTGTACTACTGATTGCTGGAACATGTCTGATCACTGCTTTGATAAATTAGCAGCAATCAAATGCAGTCAACCTGAAAATCATCAGCGAACTTGTTGGGTTCAATTTTAAACATTCACTTGGAGATTAAATCAGGTCCAATTGTGTCTTAGAAGTAAAAGTGATCAATTTGTCCTTTCACTTATCAAGAATACAGTAGTTTTCAAAGGGTGAAGAGCCCATGTTATACTAAAGTAAGTCACACAAACCTACAAAGCAAAGCCAGCAATTGCTAAATGACGAAAATAGCTAACTTTTATGAAAATACTCTATATGGATAAACAGGCATGAGTGGAAAATACTTAACATACAGGCAGACTTTTTTTAAAATTGAACCTTGGTTCAAAGTCACAAACATTTGTGACAAATAACCAGTTTGACGATTTTAGCCGGGTTTTATGTGTGTGTTGCCAGGAAAGGACTTCTTGTTCTGCTTATTTCACAACAAATTTAAGAAAACTTGTAAACACTTACAGAGAAATGAACAAATTATTTGATTTATACAAAAATCAGCCAAAAAGACGATCTATAGCAATCTGCTCAAAGAATGCTGTTCACTTACGGTAACTAATGTTCTTTCAGCGCATAGTAAATTATACAACAAGTGCTGATTTTCAATGTTCTTTCTCAACAGGCGACAACCTTGTACAGTTTCTGAAGTGTTTAACTTCTGCTGGGTGCTGTTTGTTCAGACCAAAGGTAAGTAGGCAAATCATTGTGGGGAACGAGTGCAAAAATAATTCGAATAATTTTAGAAACAAATGGTAAAATATTTTCTTATAATTTTCAGTGTAAATAATACAAAACTTGTTAGCTAGGATATCTTAAAGACATGGTTTCAAAGATGGCTAATTAGCTTTGTAATACATCAAGTGTACTTCAACATATGACTCTTCTTTCATATCAGGTTTTGTAACCTGGTGTCTATTGAATTTCAAAGCTGCTATATGGTCATTTTGCAGACAAATCTGAAGCAGTGGAAGGGTGCGATTCTGAATGGAGAGCTGTGACTAGTGGCGTTTCTCAAGGATCAGTGTTGGGACCTTTGCTATTTGTAAAATATATAGATGATTTGGAGGAAAATGTAACTGGTCTGATTAGATTGCCGATGATACGGAAGTTGGTAGAATTGTGGATAGCGATGACTGTCAAAGGATACAGCTGATTATAGATCGGTTGGTGACTTGGGCAGAGAGAGAGCAGATGGATTTTAATCTGGAAAAATGTGAAGTAATGCATTTTGGAAGATCTAATCCAGATGGAAAATATACAGTAAATGGCAGAACCCTTAAGAGTACTGACAGGCAGAGGGATCTGGGTGTGCAGGTACACTGGTCACTGAAAGTGGCAATGTAGGTGGAGAAGGTAGTCAACAACGCATATGGCATGCTTGCCTTCATCGGCCAGGGCTTTGAGTTTAAAAATTGGCAGGTGATGTTGCAGCTTTATAGAACCTTAGTGAGGCTGCAATTGGAATATTGTGTTCAATTCTGGTCGCCACACTACCAGAAGGATGTGGTGGCTTTGGAGAGGGTACAGAAAAGGTTTACCAGGATGTTGCCTGGTAGGGAGGGCATTAGCTATGAAGAGAGGTTGGAGAAACTTGGGTTGTTCTCAATGGAACGACGGAGATTGAGGGGCGACCTGATAGAGGTGTACAAGATTATGAAGGGCATGGACAGTCAGAAGCTTTTTCCCAGGGTGGAAGAATCAGTTACTTGGGGGCATAGGTTTAAGGTGCCAGGAGCAAGGTTTAAAGGTGATGTACGAGGCAAGTTTTTTTACACAGAGGATGGTGGGTGCCTGGAACTCGTTGCTGGGGGAGGTAGCGGAAGCAGATATGATAGTGAATTTTGAAGGGCGTCGACAAATACATGAATAGGATGGGAATAGAGGGATACGGTCCCTGAAGGATAGGGATATTAGTTGTGATGGGCAGCATGTTCGTGCAGACTTGGAGGGCTGAAGGGCCTGTTCCTGTACTGTAATTTTCTTTGTTCTTTGTTCTGACCTTTCTCAATAGTCAAGTCACATGTTGAACTTAGTTTCTTCGTCAATTCCAACAGTTACTTCAAGCTATTGTTATCTCTTCCATTTGGTTTTCTTATTGCAGTTGTTCTTTGTTTAACGCAAGCCACTAAACATTGTTTCCATTGCATATTGCATGTATGTTTCAGTTTAGCTCATGTAAATTGATCAAGCAAATTTATGTTGTGGCTTGTTTTTGATTTGATTTTATTATTGTCACATGTACATAGGTACAATGAAAAATTTTTTTGTTTTGTGTGCAATACAGGCAAATCATACTATACAAAGTGTATTGGAGTAATAGAACAGAGCAAGGAATACAATGTTGTAGCTGCAGAGAAGGTGCACGAAGACTGAGACCATAATTAAATTTAAAATTTGACAGGTCCATTCTGAAGTCCAAATACAGCGGGGAAGAGAGATAACAAGGTGTAGAGCTGGATGAACACAGCAGGCCAAGCAGCATCAGAGGAGCAGGAAGGCTGACGTTTCGGGCCTAGACCCTCCTTCAGAAGCTGTTTGGGCTGGCTGTGGTTACTGTTTTCATTACTAATGTTAGTGCTATGGCTTTTCGCTGCCCATTGGATTTGTTTTAACTACAATGTCACAACCAAACTATATCCTTGCCATAGTTCCCAAAATTATATTCAGTTTTTGTATCACACTAAAGCCTTGTAGAATTTAATCCAATTAAACCATCTGATTTTCTTTCTAGTTTTAAAAAAAAGACTTTCCTTAATCAGATAACAAGGTGTAGAGCTGAATGAACACAGCAGGCCAGGCAGAATCAGAGGAGCAGGAAAGCTGACGTTTCAGGTCTGGACTCTTCTTCAGAAATGGGGGCGGGGAAGGGGACTCTGAAATAAATAGGGAGGGGGGAGGCGATGATGGAAGGTGGATAGAGGAGCAGATAGGTGGAGAGAAGACAGACAGGTCAAGGAGGCAGGGATGAAGCCAGTCAGATGAGTGTAGGTAGGGAGTTGGGATGGGGGTTGGTCAGTTGGGAGGGAAGGGTGGGTAGGTGGGAGGGAAGACTGACAGGTCAAGGAGACGGGGATGAGGCTAGTAGGTAGGAAGTGGGAGTGGGGGTTGGTCAGTGAGGTGGGAGGAGCAAATAGGTTGGAGAAAAGATGGACAGGTCAAGGGGACAAGCTGGGCTGGTCTTGGGATGAGGTTGGGGGAGGGGAGATTTTGAAGCTTGTGAAATCCACATTGAGACCATTGGGCTGCAGCGTTCCCAATTTAATCAGGCACTTTCTGTGAACACATGAATGCTTTTAAGGTGTCTGCAATCACTATTTTGATATAGGAAACAAGGCAGTCAGTTTGTGCACTGCAAAATTCCATAAAACAGCAATGTGATGATGATCCCTTCTGTTCTTCAGGAATAAGTGTTGGTCAGGATGTTGAGAGAAATCCTTTTGATTCTTCTTCAAACTAGATATTTTCCATACACCTGAGAAGGACCTCCATTTAACATCTCATTCAAAAGACTGCTCCTCTGACAGTGCAGAGCTCCCTCAGTGTTGTTGTGGTGTGCGTGAGCTTATGTTTTGTTGTCAAGTCTCTGGGGTAACACTTGAACCCAGAACCTTGAACCCTGACAGTGGCAAGAGCGTGACCTGAGTCACGGATGACATTGTACCTCAGTGCATTATCTACATTTGTACTTAAGAAGGGATTGCTGCATTTTTCCAGGAAGGATCCTCTTGAGCAACATGAAACCATCAGCTGACACTAATGCTTCATGTGGATGTTGACCCCATGACAATCTATTTTTGGTTCTGCCGGTGTGCACCCCCACTCCATACTTGTTGAAATAAATTAATTACCCATTCACTAATCATTGTGCCTTAGGATCTTGCTATATGTAAGCTCCCACATTTTCTCTCATTAAAACAATCACTGTACATTGACGTATATGAAGTATTGTGCCTCATTTCTGAGTGAAGGGATTAACTGGTACTAAAAGGTGACTTTTTTTTAATAATTATTCCACAAAACATTATTCCAAAATTCTTGCTAAACCTGACAAAACTGTAAAACTGAAATGATGCCTTTCATTGTGAATAATGTTGAAAAATAAAAAGACTCCATCATTGTAAGTATCCATGCTTCAAGCATGTTCTATTTCTGACTTGTTGAAAAAGCAGCATTTGTTTGTGAACCATCTGCCTGACCTAATTGATGTGGTTCAACCCGCATTTCGTGTTGAAAATGGCTAACAGGATTTGGGCTGTGGTCTATTTGGTTATACTAAAGAAAAAAAATGAGAGCTTTTTCTGAACACTTTCAAGTGGATTTCATATGGTTAAAAAGTAGTAACTAATTTGAAACTTAAATTGTATGTGTTTCCTTAAGTTAAATATTTTCTCTTTTCTGTTATAACTGTGATACCCTTTGTTAAAACGTTTTTTGTTCTGAGCTTTCCTAATTTTGATCATCAAATGAGCTGCTTATGGATTCAATTAATGGAATGTTTGAGTACGTTTTAAACCACTGATTTAAAAAGTTACTCGTTTCTGTGCTAGATTATGCAATTAATGTTTCACATTCTCTTATCTCTCACTAAAGCATCCAAGCTCACTTGATTATATTTTGCAATGGCTGTTGCTCAGCTTATTTATAGGAAAACAAAGCTGGTTTTGGAATTTGATTTGTTATTACAGTTATTATTGGTCATTTCTTAACTGCACAGAAATCTGTAATGTGCAGTGGAGTGTGAAGGTCACAAACGTCACCTCTCATTACCAACTGCAACAGAACTACTAGAAATCAACTGCAATAAACAAGAATCCCTTCCTCCTGTCAACACTGTTTGTGGACATTTTTGAGTTCCATTTGTTTGTGATTCCAGTTCATCTTTCTACTTATCAATCCTACATCCTCACCGTTAATGTCACTGTTTGGAAGATCTTTGTTTCGTAAGATTTTATTGTTACGTGTTTGTCTTCAATTCTCAAGTTTTCATGTCACAGTTAGCTTCGGAAATTGGTAAATATTGTTAAAGGATAAATTGTATTTTCCAGGTTGGCACAATTCATTGGTGTTTCAGTGTACCATGCCCAGATAAATAGGAAATAAGATTATGCACATGGTGAGTTCCTAGTCTACTCAATGTACTGCTCTGAGGATTAGCGGAGCTGAGGCCTGGTTTCCATAGCAGTAGAAAGGGAAAACTGTTACACCAGCTTCATCAACCTGAATGCCTCCTTAAGGTGACTTCTACAGGGAAGTCTACAGTCAGAGAGGGTTTGCGGTGTGGAAAGGCTCCAGATGAAAAGGACAAGGTGAATGACTGTGTCAGTAGCAAAGGGATGTGGATTGTATTTTTGGGCTGTGACTGAGCAGGAGTGTTCAGATGTTGTTCAAAGAAAATTTGTCCTTTTCTTTTAAAAAGAAAAGTAACATTTTTCTAGTTTTGTACTGACTGGTAAATATAATTACTTGAACATTAGACAATCGTAAAATGCCAGATCATGTTTTCAGCCATTTTTCAATGTTGACAAACCTGACATGGAACATTATTGGCTGCAGGTTTGACAGACAAACACTTCAGGCATTATCCCTTGCTACAAGTGCTCATGGGTACTGAAGTAACTGAAGGCAGCTTGGTTGCTTTTTTCCATCTCAGTCCATCTGCTCTCTTATCTGCTACTTGGCATCAGACAAATTTTTGTTTGACCTTGTTACTAAAGCATTTTAAAATATTATTAACTGTCCCTTCTTGTCTAACTGTAAATATTGTTTACGTATTGTGGCAAGGCTATCAGTGTAAAGTGGGGTTTGCATCTGTTTCCATCCTTATTTCAGTTGGCTGGTACTGTGTAATTAGCTTCCCAGGAGGAGTGATGGTAGTCACTTAAGGTCATTGTGTACACCGAATGATGTTACTGTTTTTCTTGGCCCAGTCAATCGTGTATTTCACCAGTCACTTTGTGTGACGCTGGTTTGGAATTCCTGTGATATCCTGATAACAACGTAACAAAGGTTAATTGCTTACTCCTTGTCCTGCACTTCCTACAAATCTTCCCCCTCATGCTTCTGCTTCCCCTTGTCAACAGATCCATCGGGAGAAGCTGACAAAGACTGTGTCCTCCTCATGATGACATTGTGTTCTGCTGTATCCTACACAATAAATAGTGCCCCGCACTCTAGACAGTGCAAGAAAGCTTCGCCAGAGTGGTCCATGTAGTGGAAGTGTTGGCAGGCACCTCCGGGTCTGCTTGATGACCTTGTGCACTGGAATCACGAGCCTTGTAGCCAGTGGTTAGCTCTGGTCACCAAGCAGCTTGCCTCTGATTTTTCATGGCTTAAAATCTGTTATCTATATAGACTGGTACAGAGCGAAAGCATCATGACCCCTTCTAGAATGCTAGACATTGACCTGCATGATGTGCTGTCTATGGTCTCACACTAGTTGGATATTGAGGGAATGGAGCAGTATGTGACTGCAGTGTATTTCTGAATTTCCACCCACACCCACAAAGTAACGCGTATAATTAGTATCACCCTGCACCTAGGGGAAGCCATCGTGATGCAGTCTATTTACCTCGCTCTTATTGAACAGTCTATGTTGAACTGAGAGATATTGGAAGTGTTGCCTGCTCCATCCTGGAAAGCCACAATGGTCATTCAGCACTGGCAAAATATCCTCAGTCTACTTCTGAAGCTAAATGTCTTCCTGAAACAAGTGACTGATCACAGTGAGCAAGTCCTGAAAGAAACAAAGACACCAAGCACAATGTTTCTGGCTGAAATGGAGATGGGAAAATTGCTCCCTCAAGACTCAGGCTAACAGGAGGGGAAATGGGTGATCATTGCTACATGTGGGTTTCAATATTCGGGTGGAACAGGCTTGATTTGGCTGGCTGGTCTTTTCCTGTTGTAAGTTTATAAGTGCTCGATAGGAATAAAAGAGGCAACTCAATATGAAAATACATTGGTTTCGTTTATACCATTTGGCATGGAGCACACAGGCTTCAGGAGACCCTTGTTCCCTTGTACCACCTGTAATAAATCCACTTCCTAATTACAATGAATCAATACATTGTTTCAGAATGGATCTGAAATGTGATTTTACAAGGTTGTTTGTTAAGCCGATCCTGGATCGAGTACTTGACATTTCTGATATTTTTCCGAGAGGGGGTCGTTGAGCTCAGTTGGCTGGTTCCTGATGCCAGCAGCATGGATTCAGTTCCCACACCAGCTGAGGTTATCATGAAGGACTCTTCTTCTCAGTCTCACCCCTTGCCTGAGGCATTTGACTATCAGGCTAAACCAGCACCAATCATCTCTGTCTAATGAGAAAGCAGCCTGAAGTTCCTATGGGACTGTGGTGACTTCACTTTTACTTTCCCAAAGGCTGTAGAACATTTTTGTTAAGAGGATGTTTAACGAGAAGGAATACATTTTGCACAATCACAGATAACAACAATAAATCAGTCATACACTGTTGCACACTTATTTATTGAGCATTTCAGTAAGGAGCTGTGCTGCTGAAATATTGATACCTTATCCAGAATAATCCATCTGGTTTCTCTGTATTTAACTCTTCTGGAAATTTGTTTGCCATCCCATCAGCATGGTTACAGGGATTAGAATGTCACTCTTTTGTTGACTTTGGATCAGGAGTTTGCTTTTGGCTGAATACGCAGTTAAAGACTTAATTGTACAATGACAGTTCAATACCGTTTGCCAGGTAATTTGCTTCAGCCTTAGCAGATTCCAGCTGGGACTCTGTGAGCACAGGCAATGTTTGGTCATGCTGGAACTTGGATGGTGTCAGCAGTGATGGTTAATTGTATTTACAGAGATTTGTTTCAACTTGTGCAGACCTGTTCATTTCCGCCACAGGGTTCAACCCAGTTGTAGCCGTCAGTGGAAGCTTGAGCTACTCTTTTTTAACTTCTTGCACTTCACAGTTGATTCACTAATGCTCTTCCAGTCTCTGGCTAGAAGAAAAGTTCAAGCTGTAAACCTGAGTTCATTGCTTTTAATATTCTGCAGGGAATGCAAATAGCTCCAACTGCTTTTGATTGCTGAGGTAAGGAAATTATATTTTCAGGCTCGCAGAAAGCATCATCCATCAAACCACCGTAAATATAATTCAATTATTAGCAATGAAACGGGTGTGCAGCACTTGCCTAATATCAGTTTTATAATGCTAATGATTTAAACACTTTTTGTGAAAGAATCCAATGCATTTTGAGGAATTTGAAGAGAATGTTGTTCTTTTCGTGCTTGAACGTGCAAAGTAAAATCTTGCCATGTAGCAAGTTTATTTTTTTTTGCAGCTTTGCTTATGCAATGAGTAGTTTTGATGCAGGCTTTTAGTAGACTCGTTGCTTCGTCTATACAATTCGTTGGAGATGAAGCAGGTACAGTTAACTATAATATAGGGGAATAAAAGTGAAGCCAACATATTTTCTTCTTGCTGCAGTTAAGACAATAAATCAAGTATTAACATCTTTTAAAATAACTTGCCTGGGGAAACAGTTGGGGGAAATAGAACCCTAATGATAGAAATTCCTATTGATTTAAACAGGAAATTGAATGTAAATGATAGCTATTCATTTTTAATTTTTATGAAAACCATAAGATAGTGCCAAGCATTCAAATTAAACATGTGCAAATTATAATAAAATTCACTGGCTTTGCATAACAGCAGCTGTGAAAACATTCACATCAAAACTTGTGTTTTTAATCTCCAATAGCTCAACCTGAACTTCAGCTGGAACTGTACTAATTTTCTAAGACCTGAAAACTTGTTGAGGAAGAGAATAAACTCAAGTTTATTTAAATTCAAACTTTTTTTTGTGAAAAACGACAGAGAAATGTGATTCACTATCTTTAATGTAAGCTATTTTGGTTCATGAGGTAAGAAATGTTTAATTGGTGAAAGATAGGTGTTGCTTTTT